TCACATCAAATTCACTCGTTTCTGTGCATCACCATAGACATCTTGGTCGCTCGTTAACAACATTAGCCCGAGTGATGGACGCGCTCGTGGAGTTCGAGACCAATGGAAAAGCACACGTACCCTATCGAGATGCAAAGCTCACCCACTTGCTCAAGCCGTGTTTGGCCGGGGACGCAAAGTGCATGCTAATTGTCACACTGAACACTCAACGTGCGTGTCTGGAAGCATCTCTGCGCAGTCTTCGACTGGCGTCCAAAGCATCCGTGATTGCGTTGGGGCAGGCCAAAAAGAATGCCACTTTACGTGGTGGGATACGCACGGCTATATAGCTTCGTACAGTCTCGACCTGGGTCAAATAGGAGTCAAATGTGACATATGTGATTTGGGTTGATCTTAACTGGTGCATATGATTGGAAACGCACACCCACGAACCAAGTCAGCAAGCACGTGGGCAACTAGGCGTATTGGTCACAACCCAAATTCACAAACAAGTTTCACAACTATACAAATCAAATCAAGGCGAAATCCTTACCGACTCAAAATTGTCGGATGAAAAAACTCCGTCCCACCTGTAACTGTCTGTACTATGACCTCAATGGTTTCTTAATATCGTCTGTTTAATCATCACAGATCATATGCATACGCATTCACTGTCTTTGTCTTGTTACACATACAAATCTCTTTTTTCTCTCGTTGAATTCATCCGAAATACAGAGAGATATGAATAATTGCATAATGTTTAATCGTTGAAATGCAGAATACGATTCAACAATAGATAATGACACGTGGTTTACCACAGTAAAAGAATGAAGTCCTTTAAAACGTAATTACTTCCGTCTGGGAAGCCTGGCAGGGTGGTAGACATTTTTGATACAGGTTATTGTGCCGTCACTCCCCTGGAACCCGTGCATGTATGATGAAAAGTCCGATTGTAATAGTTAATATCACGAGGGAGTGCACTTAAGATAAATCACAACCCAAATACGGAGAAAAGCAAGTAATATGAGATTCTAGTGCAATATACTTCATGGGTCTTACACTTCTGAGGGCTGTACGATGACCACTTTAGATACTGTTTCAGTAGTCAAGCAAACACCTAAATGTGAAATTTCTACTTCTTAGGTTTTGCTCAAAAATATAATTGAAAATGTGAAATGTGTTGGTGGTCCAGCAGTAACGTCACCAAATTATCACCTTGGAGGAAGTGCAACCGAATCCCACCACCACAGACTGGCATTTATATGGCGGCCCCTTGATTGGTCGCCCTCCCCCTTCCTGAACAATCGTATCCTAATTCAATGGGAATTAAAATGAAAAATAGTACCAAGTTGAGCGATAGCCGAGTAATCTATAGCGCGGATTAGTGTTAAATCGAAACCTTCCATTTGACAGGATGCACAAGCGTGCAGACAATGCATCTTTTCCAGTAATCGAAGGAATCAGCCTGAATGTTCCTCATCATACGACAGCAAATCGAGTGAAATCGGACCAGCTCATCTTCCTAAAACGCAATCCATGATCAACCTTAAGTATGAAAGTGTACTAGTGAGTAACGCGTCCTTTTACTATGCCACTAAACCACAAGGGATGCAACGTAATTTTATCACATCTGCCACCTTCTACTGTAAAGAGTAAAGAGAGGAATTGGAATTCAGTGAATTGAACAACGTGAGCAAAACTGTACAGTGTCATTGCAAAGGAAACCGAGGTCAATAAAACAAGGATAAGAGCCGATGAAGATACCAAAGGAGTTGTGCACAAGCATTCAGTGTCACCAGATCCTCACACGGCCGTACCACGTTCCAGATTCTGTTTGATTTCTGCTGTATACTTCCCGTAATGACGATCAAGCAACTCGTTATAGCGTTTGTTACGCTCGTTGATGTAGTCAATGTCGGCGTCCGCATCAAATGGACGTCGGCGGCTGTAAGACGGACGTTTCGCAGATTGCTCAATGATCTGTTTGGCCAGACGCTCCACCACATCCGGAGAATCTTTACGATCCACAAGACCGATAGTGTCTGCGGTGGGAAACATCAGTTCGCCTCTACGGAATTGAACAGTAAAGGAAAGTACCGTTATGGAGAACTCTGTATCTGTTATTTTCTAAACTGTAGAAAACTAAAAATGTGCGAGCAAGAGAGATGGTACTTGGAGGTCTATATGGTTGAATCAATTAAGTATAGGTTCAACTGATCAAAAATGGGTAGATACCATCATAGGTGTGCAGCAGAATACAATGAAGCAAACTTAACTGATTGCTGCCACGCTCATAATGCACACAAAGTAAGGATGTGCAAGGTAGACATGGAGTGGATCTATTTGGAAGAAAGGGGAAAGAAAGTGAACCTCCGTGGTCAAAACAGTATATAGTCTAACCGCGCACACGCACATTAGGCATTCTGGTCTGATAAGAAAAGAAAACAGGAACGCCACTGAAGTCGGCTTGCTCCCACTTCCTCTGGTGCCTCCAACCAACCATTTGCATTGTCTTTTGGACTTAAACGTGGAAGACGAGAGTCACTTACTGCCTTCAGTTGCTTTGTGCATTTGTTCATGCTTCGACCCCAAATCATCTGACCTCCAAGCGACACGTTCCGCAGTTGGGTACTGTTGTGATTCATAAAAGACAAACACGGTGCTGGAACGCACCAAACTCTTAAAACTACCAAACTGGTGTGGATCTGCTCTGAG